TATATACACACACACACACATACACACACACACACACACACACACACACACACAGGTGTGTGTGTATGCATATTTTATAAGGAGCTTAAGGGAATTTATGTTCCCACTTGCCACTAAATTTCAATGTGATTTGGGCTCATAATTTACTTAATTCTCTTCAAAAAGCCCAGCCCAAGTGTTTTGCCAAATTGTGGCGCAGATACCTTGCATTAGGTTATCAAGTCCCTTTTTAGACATGCTGATTGTCCACAAATTCCAGTGAAGTTAGTGGTAGCTGCTAGTGCTCAGCAGCTTTGGAAATCAGACTTTTTTTTTCTTTTGAAGTGTAAAAGCTTACGGCTTTAATTGCTTCCAGCATCATTTTTGTTAGAGTCGCTATGGGGTTTTTATGCATATTTTACAGAGAAAAATAGGAAGGGACTAAAGGAGGAAAACAACAACACAACAACAATAATACTAATTATTATTATTATTGTTTCATAATAGAAAACAGGATTGGATGGGAGGGACCTCAGGAGGTCAACTTGCCCAGTAGGATCAACATAGTTAAATGAACAGAGTCAACATTATCAGAATTAGAATTGTAGTAGTGCTTAGAGGTTTCAGTGAAGGACAAGCTTAATTATAGATGGCATTGTACACATGTACATGCACACCTCTTAGGATGTGCCTGCTGCACTTGTGTAACTATCTATTTTATCTATCAAAGTGTAGTAGAAGGGGCTTATAACAGTGTAAGGAATGCAGATTCCTTATGTACAACGAATGGCTACAACTGGAAAATCTTCCAGTGCTGCGCCTTAAATGTTGTAAAAGTGCTTTGATCTGTTAACAAATATTTTAGAATTATTAAATTAAATAAAAGCTTATGTATAATTATGAATAGCAAATATATATGTATATGACTGTCTATATCCAGTAGCTTGATATCACAATGCTTCCAGGTATGGTTGAAAGCAAATGAAACTGCATCCAAGCAAACCAGGCTGGGTCGAAGAGCCCTTTATATCATCAGCTCTGACAACACCCGACATCTTACTAGTTTTTCAGTGTTGGGGGCAGTTAGCAAACTACACGTGCGTGTGCTTTCCTGAACCGGAGCCTTAAGAATTCCTTAAAGTTCACCTCAGTGCATCGAGGCGCTGGCAGTCTGTGCGATTCCCAAAGACTGCCAAGAAAGCCAAACGAGCTATATTTTAATTGGGAATATCTGCATACCGCACAACAAATTCTTGAATGCATAAGCAGAAGGAAAGCTCACTTCATTTACCGTAACTTTGCGCAGCGCTGGGTTATTTATAGACCCAGTCCCGTAAACCTGACTCACACATTTGACCCACCGAAGTCAATAAGACTTACTTGTACAGATGAGGACTACTCGGGTGAGTAAAGGCAGCAGGACTGTGTTCTATGTTTAGCTGATCGGCGTCAATTGAGACAGCCTACCTTTGCTTTATTTTAAGCTCTGTGGATGTCACGCAACATGCGAGAGCTAGGTATTATCATTCGTTACTATGGGTAAATAATGGTGGGCTTGATTCACGCTATTTGGAACAAGCACTGATAGTCACTGACTACTTACGGGACGTGCTTATGCCCGCTGAAGCTGACAAACTGAGGGAGCCCAGAACTTCTCTGGTTGAGACAGAGAAACGTACCGTATGCATGTGAATTGCTCATCTTGCTTTGCAATCAAAAGTGCTGCTAGAGTAAGTTTCTCTTCTGCGCGATGGACCGTATTTGACGGTCAGCAGAATAGGTGGGAGCTTTGTGTGGAAAAGGGGCTCTTAGTTGAAACAAATTGGATAAGAAACACTTTTCTCACGCGTGTTGTGTCATTTACAAACCGTTTGTTATATGCTATGAAGAGAATCCATTATAGAAACTTAAACCTGCTGCAGTGCTGGCTCCACTCAGTAGACAAGGTGAGATGGTAGCTGTCTAACACGGGTCAATGGTGAGTGAAGGGAAACCACATTTATTATTTACAGAACCGCGTTATCCAAGGCATGTTTTTATTAGGCACTTGTCACCATAGGTTTATATAATAAAGGACTGGTTTTCCACTTACAACAATTTTGTTAGTTACAAAGTAATTGACTGCCGTAGATATAGAGTAAGTGAACTGGGGTAAGGAGAAGCATATGGTAATTAATTACATGGACAAATAACAAAAGAGATTGTTTCAAAACACAGTAGACGCATATTGTTTGGAGCTCTCTGAAAAGAAATGGGACGAAGGCCCTAAATTGTTTCATTTTATCATACTTCCTTTTGTGGCTTTGAAATCTGATTACTTGCCCCTTCATCCTACCTTCTGCTTAGATACATAAAGGGATCCAATCCTTGGTTCGGTGTAAGTCAGAGGAGTTTTGCTTATGGCCGACATCTGCTGTAGCAGTTACCATATCGAATATCGAATCCTAACTCTGAGCGTTCCCCTGATCCTGGTACACACTATATCGTTTTTGTCCGTTTGCTCTCAGTTCATGCTGTATTGCTTACTGTGTTGCATCAATCTACTTAAATTATCGCATTTCCTCTCCGTTAGTTCTGTCTCTGAATTGCAGCTGGCAGTGAAACATCAGCCCCTCAAGTCTGGAGAAGGGTCAGTGAATGGTAAGGAAGACTTGCAAGCACTGCTGCTCTTTTTGCTACAGATCAAGCCGGTATTTGGTACTAATGGCCCCCTTTCCCACTAGCAGTTTTGGGGGTCCCCTTGAGATAGTGTCTGGTATTGGGGTAAACCATTCTGACTGTGAGCATTTCTATGGGATGAAAAGCTAAAAGGAGCGTACAGTGAGCCCAAGACGCACCGGAGGAATCGTTAGCAGGCAATTAGAGCATGGGACTGCGTGTCAAGTGGTCTGGTTCCATTCTCAGCTCTCGTGTGGCTTGATAAATCACTCAGCCTTCCTATCCTTGCATGTCCCTAGTTGTAACACAGTATTAAAGTGCCAGGTATTATTACTTCATCTTATTGGTGTTTAGGGGGAGGGGCGGAGGGCCTACACACTTTAGGGAACCCACCACTGGCTTTTCTCGATTAACTCAGCCCCACGTATGCTGCTTCCTACTGTGCTGGGCTTTACACCCTCGGGTACTTTGGGTGGTGACCAGGGAGCCAATGGCCTAATCATTTGCCTCTTGATCTCATCAGAAACCCTCAACGGCTTATTCAGGTACTGCATTCCCTGTCCAGACCACCTGCTGGGAAGATGGAAAATTGGTAGGTGCCCAGTAAAGCAGCTCTTTCCTCCCTTGCCCCCATCCTTGCCTTGGAGCTGGGGCCTTTTTCATTGCATGTAATAAGAGAAACTCCCATTGTTGGGAGTTGCAGGGATAGATTTTCAGAGGTGAGTGGCTTGAGCCTCTTCCTCTATAACCACCTCTGTAGGGACTAGGTTAGTGATTCTCAACCAGGACACTGTAGGATGTCCTGAAATCCGTTCAGGGATGCCAGAGGGTGTCACACAACATGAGCACTGTTAGGTGTCCAAATATGATTCACAGGATAACCCAGAGATTTCAGTTAGGAATCTGTATAGTGTTAAAGCCATTCTAACCAGCCGCGGTCTGTTTTGCAACAGAAGAATTTATCTCTTCTTTAGTTTAAAAAAAAAGTGTAAATTTAGAGCTGCCATTCTCTGAGGGATGCCTTGAATATGAAAGGGTGCCTCAAATCTATTGAGGGGTGCCTCGAGTCTTGATAGGTTGAAAACAACGGGACTGGATTTTGGATTTTAAATACTAATCTAGGATTTCCCTTTCCTAGGGACCAGAGCTAGGTCTGGGTCTCATCTCTCCTTATTTTTTAAGGCACCTTCCTTATGTCCGAGGAAGGCTGATCTTTCAGAAAGCACCTTCCCACCAGGGAAGTTGGACTCCTTTAATTTGTCTGAAGTCGGACACGCAGAAGTGAGGTGCCCAAATCACTGTCATTGCTTTAGAAAACCTTGGTCAAAATCTTTGGAGAAGGCTCCTTAAAATGTCTTCTAGTCTGTAGGCCAGGCAGAATGTGAACGATCTAACGCTGTCTAATTGGTTTTCTCTCCTTCAGTACCGTGTGGTGGCAAAGCATCGCAATCTCATGCGTGACCTTTATCTTCTATATACTTCCTTTGATTGGCTTCTACATCATGCTCAGCAGAAAAATAGGTAATTTACTCCTTTCCTGATTTCTGTGTTAACGGGATGAAGTTTGGCATGTCAGAGGTAACAGGCTGTTGAATTCCGGGTTAGTTCTGGTACCGGTACAGGAAACACCAAGCACTTCAGGAGAGAGGATGGGATTTGTTCCTGTCCACTGGTAGACAAACATGGCCTGGTCACGTAGCTAGTGTTTATCAAAGGTCTTCTCCAGCCTAGCAGCCCTTCCGGCTGGAGCGTGTTTAAGTTGTGTTTCTGTAGCCAGCATCACTCCAAGGGAGTGATGTGACTAGCATCGTGACCACCCACCCGTGACTTCCTCATCTGAATGCCCAAGGACCCGTAGGCAGCTGGATTAACTAGCACTGACTTTTGGCACGAATCTGGAGCAGTCTCAGACCAGCACCTCCAGGGCCAGAATGAGATGCCTTTAATAACTACTACTGCCTATGCTTGAAAACTAGAGTTTCTCTTTGACAAGAAATGTTAATATTTCAACATTTGGACAAGTAAAAACAACACTTCCTTTTTTTGTTGTTTTAAATAGACATTTTTTAAGCCAGAAAGCGCTGTTTGGTTTTGAACTGTTGCTTAGAAACAAGGCATTTAATTTTTCAGCTGTTCTCACTGAAAACTTTTCAGACAAAATGAGCATTTCACTCTGCAAAGGGCTGATTTTCATGAAATGGTGTCCTTCAGTGGGAAAACATTTCATGCAAAACATGTGGGCCAGCTTTGAATGTGACACATCATGATCTGCTCTCCTGGTTAATTATTACTAGATGCACAATGCTTTAATCCATTGGCTCTTCACCACAAGAGGCCTGGGAGTCGTTTCAGTCATTTTTCTGGGGACGAGTGTGCATCTAAGAAATAATTAAGAAAACAATTTCACCCAAGTTTGACTATGTGGATTAATACAAGTGACCATTTCTGCTCTGGAGAGGCCCAGGAGTGGAATAAAAGACCCAGTCTAGGGCCCGGGCTCTGGTGCATTCATGGAACTGTATGAGACCATTCCAGAGTGGGCAGAACAAAGGGTGTTGCAGACCAGGAATGGGGTGAATTTGCAGGGCCGTGTGTGGATGCCTCAGCACCAGAAGAGCTGGTCAGTGCCATTGTTCAGGGCTGAAGAGCATTTGCAGAGCTGAGTGGGAGTCGCAAGGCTGTAACAGCAAGGGATGTATGGGTCACGGGTGAAATGTATTGGTAGAAATGGGGTGTAGGTTGTAGCCATGTTGGTCTAAGGACACAGGCAGACAAGGTTCTTTGGGTGAATCTGATATCTTTTATTAGACCAACTTAAATAGTTAGAAAAAAAATTTCTTAGCAAGCTTTCGGGTTTAAAAACCCTTCGTCAGGCTGAGGAAGCCTCTGCAGTTGGTGTGTGCTCTTCGTGGATGGAGGGAATAGTAAAGAAGCCAGAGGCTGGTCTGCATGCAAGACAGGCAGTCAGTGAAGATGTAAATTGAGGAGTCAGTGGGTGAGAGACAGGCTGGGGGAGTGGAGGGGGAGAGAAAAGGGGGATGAAGGTAGCAGTTAAATAGTGGAGAGGTACCTGGGGAGTCAGATGTCAGGCAGGTTATAATGTGCTATAAATCCAACACCTATATTTAGTCCATGATTTTTAGTATCCAGGAGGTGGATGATGTGGAGTTCATAGGCTCTTCTCTGAGAAGTGTTTTGTAAGTCCCTTTTGAGGATCAGAAGTGAGAGATTGGAGAGAGAGTGGTTTTCTTGTGTGAAATGTGCCCCCAGAGGTAATTGGGTATTCTTGTCTTTGATAGACTTCCGGTCTGCGTTCATTCTGGCACGCAGTTGTTGTTTGGTCTCTCCTACATATTTTCCGTCAGGGCATTTGGTGCATTGGATGAGATATATTACATTTATGGAGGTGCAGCTGTAAGATCCAGGAAGGCTGATGGCTCTGTTGTAGGGTGTAGTAATTACGTTGTCAGGTTTTGCATTTCTTGTCATAGCACGGTCTGGATCCATTCCGTGTGTTCTGGGCCGTAGGAAGTTTGCTTCTGGTGATGAGGCCAGCAAGGTTCGGTGCTTGTTTGAAGGCTAGGATGGGTGGTTTTGGGAAGATCTCTTTAAGAACAGGGTCTCCTTCTAGTATGGGTTGCAGTTGTTTGAGGATTTTCCTTATGGGTTCGAGGGAGGGGTGATATGTCATAACCATCGGTGTGCAATTCATG